CTTAAAATTAAAGCAATAAACAAATAAAATCATCAAGACTTAAGAATAAAGTGGCAAAAAACTTACCTATTGATGAGAAAAATCAATAAATTTTCTCACTTGTATGCTTGGTTTCTTTGCACTACAAACGAGACAAAAGCTTTTTGAAAAAAGAAAAACGACCACTGTTGTACCCCAAAAATTGAAAGTAAAATAATAAACTACACCTAGGAATCTTAAAATAATAAAATATTAAACCTACTTTTTAAAACCGGATGACTACTCCTAGACTTAAACTAATCACTATAGACTACTCCCTAGAAACTAATCAAATAAACAGACCTATAGACCTATAAACTAGAGACGTGTGTGTATGATTTGAAATATAATATTATTAAATTTTGATATTGATTAAAGTAAATAATTTTTTAATATTTATTAACTCTTGCTTTTTCTAAAAGTAGTCATATTTTTCAGGACTTTTATTTATTGGGTGAGCTATAACAGTTAAAAATAATAAAATAGTCTAGATTATTAGTATTTTTAACCTCAAACAACTAAAACTCTCCCTATGCTAGGGCCCACCCTAGCCTTGGTACTACCTCCACCGTTGGCATCCATGTAAGTGTGTATGGATGTGTATGTGTGTGTGTTTCAGGGCGGGAAGCTCTGAGAGAGAGAAAAGAGAAACAAGGGGAGAGAGGATTGTGAGAGACACAGGGAGAATGAAAGGGAAAGAAAGAACAAGGAAAGAGGTGAGGGATTTGGGCTGGGGGGCAAGAATCAAAGGTAGGCCCCCTTGGGCACACCAACCAATCCCAAAAGCAAACCCAAAATAAACATTTAAACAAAAATCTCAAAACCAAAGTAAAATTCCCAATTTAGCCCTTTCATTTGTAAAATTCGGGACAGGTTGTCACAATCTACCCCATTTAAATAAAATTTCCTCCTGAAATTTAAAATAACTTTGTACACTAAAATACTCGAAAATAGGAAGAAGAATAATATATATGTAACGAAGAAATCAAGTAAGAGCAGTTGTACGAAAGGGAAAATGCCACACCGTCGCGATCGGGTTGCAATGATTCCATCTTTTCATGCCTCCAGGCTCATACCTTCTTCCTCCATCAATGTAAAAGTAGAAACATACTTTATAAGGATATAAAGTCGAAAACATATAATAACGTAAGGTAAAAAATATGTACGTATAATACAATAACTTCAAAAGAGAGATGTACTAACATATAGGTCGAAAATTCGTACTAAAAGTCAAAATCGAAAACGAAAGTGGGTCTAACCTAAACATATGTAACGTTACATACTACGAGAAAAGTTTTCTTTGGGTTGAGCCCTAACAGTAACAAATCCATAACAACTGCCATAAGCAGGTCTACTTGCCCATTTGCTTAACGAGGTAAACGAATAAGCTATCGATATTACGGTTGGCCGCCCGCGATATGGATCACACATTGTTGTCTCAATAAGTAAGCAGTGATTTCCTGAGGGTGCACAATTTCACACGTCATAAATTCGATCCTTCGAATACAAGTTCCCAAAACGCCTCTGTCAACCAATATTTTTCCAACAAAGAACCCATTGAAGATGTACCTTGTGATTCAAGAGAAGTGGCTACCATGTTAATAGTAAACCCAAAAGATCGAGCCAAGCAAGTTGAAAATGGGAATTCACCTTCCCCAATAAGCAGTATCTCTAAGGAGCTGTTGTAGTGCCCAATCCACCTCTCCATTTTTGCGTAGTTGCATATTTCTAGTCAAACAAGGTCAATGTTGGTGGAAAGAAGAAGGACTCGTAAGTGATCAACCTAAAAACCCCATGAGAGTACACACCTTTCAGGAGGAGTGCAAATTCTAAATGTGTTAAAGCTACAAAACGAGTGAACACAACAAATCTTCCAAGGTCTTGGGAAGGAACTACTAGAGTTCGATATGATGTTTATAATTTGTAGCAAGATAATAAGATGTGACTATTCATTTATGCGTGAAGATAGTGAATGGTGATACCATCCGCTGACCACCTGCACTACAACCTTCATCAATGTCTTACTAACAGACGGTTCAAAACTCACACTCATATGAAACTTTTCCTGGTAAGTCTGTTAAGCTCGCGAGAAGGTTATGCTCCAAACATTCATGTTCGAAACGATATGAACTGAGCGCACACTTTCGCCGAATCAATCGATCGTGAATTCCTTACTGATTGAGCGAGAAACCATGTTGAGAAGTCTAAAAGAACACTTAAGAATTTGAGGTTCAAAACAAGTCTATCAAAACTAGAGTACAAAACCAAGGATACTTCGCAATTTCATAACTCCTGTGAGGAATTTCAATTTTCAATGGTCGCAACCTTTTTTTGGAAATTGATAAGAATAACGTCTGTTACCGAAGAGTCTCCCAAGGAAATATTTAATGTAAATGAAGTCGATGCTCGAAGCATTTGGTGTGAAGTTGACTGTCGATGGTTAAGGAACTTGACTTCGTCGTTGGAGTAAGCAAGAAGGTTGTCGATAGAACAATCATCGAGAATTGTTCTAAAGATCCACATGAATTCCTTAACGGGAATGAGTTCAAGAACATTGATTCGCTCCTACCAACATTGGGAGAGCTTGCCCTCCAAATGGGGTCTGACCCAGCTTGAGGGATTAGTCATTGTCTACATGCGGGGGATACCCTGGATTCATCCAAAAAAGAAAATTGAAGAAGACTCTAACATATTCGAATGTTAATTTGTAAGCACATGCAAGATCTCTCTATCCATCAATATAGAATTTATTCTCAACACATATACTTGGACAAATTAGCAATAGAATAAAGCAAAGGAAATAGACTCGAGCAAGGGAAGCATAAAGAATATATATACAGTCCTTTTAAGGGAAGGGATCCCTACTTTTTGAAAACAAATGAGGAACACTCTCTAAATCATTGGATTGACTTTAATAAAATTGGGTGGTTGAGATTAAATAGCTCAAAAACTCTTTTTTGTCCCATTTTTTTCTTCTCTTTTTTACTTTGCCATTTTCCTTTCTTTTTTTTTTTTGGGTCCTTTCATCTTCCTTGTGACACAGAGAAGAACAAAGCTTGGCTTTTCTGGTTCTCTCTTCTTCCTTCCGACACAGACGCATAGAAAAACAGAGCTTCGCGCACAGCCAAATCACATGCTATCCTTTGAGATTTCAGGTATGGGTCTTCTCCTCATTCACTTGTTGCTTGAATGTGTTACTAGACACAGATGCACAGACGAACAGAGCTTCGCACTTAGCCAAATCATAAGCCATCTTTTGAGATTTTAGGTATGGGTTTCCTCCTCATTCATTATTTTAGGTGATTAATTTGGAATTTGGGTTGAACAATTGAGGTTTATATTTTCCAAATTCTAAACGCAAAAATCTATTGTGTTCTGATTCAGGATTGTTCTGGTTTAAAATATAAATTTGGTGATTTTCTTTCGGGTTTTAGGGTAAAAACCTTTTGAGTTCTAATTCAAATTGGTTACAGATTTCAATGGGTCCATAATTTTGGTGGTTTTCTTTCTGGTTTTAGGGAAAACAACAAATAAGAAGATAAGGCATTAGGTGCAGTACCTGTAACAACTTCACAAACTCCTCAGGTTCTTTAGCAAGCGCATGCCATGTCCTCCACCTCCGTTTGGATTTATTTCTGCCAAATTATGAAACGGCCTCATCCAAAGATCAGAGTTCGGGTTTTATGGTAAAAATCTTTTGAGTTCTAATTCAAATTGGTTACACATTTGAATGGACTAAATTAATAGAGTATGAATTTGGGACCTTATAACCTTTTGGGTTTTGATTTTGCAGGGAAAGCCACTGATTGGTAAGGACTTGCTATTGAGGCTTCCGTATTCATTACTAATTAAACTGTTTGCCATTTGCTTTTACTTATTAAATTGACTGTGTATATGCCATATCTTGCCAATGATGCCATTTGCATTACTCTCTTGAACATTTGCTTTCTATTGAGACTACCATTTGCTTTTGGGTATATTTCTTAGATGTAGTTAATCCTTTGGTGTTCTTCCCACTAGAAAATTCTCTATCAAACAAGCAAATGATTTTGCTTGCCACACTTTTTTGCATGAGCCCTTCAAGTCTTTACTATGAATAAGGACTATCCATGAATAATCACTTGTTGCTTGATCAAGCAGTGGTGAAATTAGTAGCAATCAACAAGTAGAGTATGAAAAGGAAGCTGCAAAACTCAAGCTTTAGCAATTAGCAACAAGTAACAATATGAAAAAGAAGCTGCGAATGTCTTCCATGTTGACTCCAAATATTTATCGGCATTTTGTAAATTGTTATTGTTTTTCACTATGTATGAGAAGCATTGTAAAAGAATTGGATTGATATTGATGAAATCAAAAAAGGCATTTGACGTCTTCGATGTTTCTTCCAAAGTTGGTATGCTATTGATCTTTATCATTGAAATTTAAATTTCTAAATAAAGTCATACAAAATACATGAATTCCGTCAAGTTTATGGCCAATTCCTCCAAATTCATAGAATAAACTTATATAAAACAGTGGAACCACATTAACACCATGTAAATTAGGAATAAAAAAAATGAGATCAGCTTCCTATAGACAATGAGTGCTTCCTCCCATGTAAATTAGGAAAAAAAAAAAAAAAAAAAAAGATAAGCTTCCTATATACAATTGAGTGCTTCACATCCTGCAATTAACCAAAATAGAAATCATAAAAATTTTGATTAACAATAATAATGCTATTATACCTACAAATAATGGTGGAAGGGATACCTATTATCAATAACACTTTCATGGAACATTTTGGTCCATATTGGCCATTCTACATCAAAGACAACGAACGAATTTCAACTATTGAGTTATTAATTGCATGATATACATAGAAAAACATGCAGACTACGTAGAAAAACACACGAAGTATGTATTCTTATCGATTGTGGAGCTCTGGACAATTTCTTTTGTCATGATTAACTCCATATTGCCCACACCCATGACAAAGGTTACCATTAACCCTCTTCTTGCATTTTTCCTTTCTCTTTTCCCCTTTTAAGTCTTTTTCCAGATCCTTTGGTCTTAATAGGATCAGGTTCAAGAAAACCAACATCATCTACTATCGATTTTCTTTTTGCTCGACATTCCACATCTCCTTTGGTTGCAAGAGGTTCCACATTTTCATTGGTACCACCAACAAATGGCTTAATCTTCTCATTCACAACATCCATCGCCTCACAAAAGAGTTTACTTGCCTCATCATTTAGAATGACTTTATCAATCAAATGTGAATATTGTTGGAATAATGTACCACGCCTTTCAAGTACGGATTTGTCAACAGATATCTCCACATTGGAGTTGTCTACTGTAACTGAACATTTTGCAGATTTAATCCATCTCTTCAAAATGTATTCATCTGGCAATATATGAAATTGATGTATTTTATGCAAATATGCCAAAAGATGGTTGCATGGGATTCCTGAACTATCAAATTGTTTGCAGCTACATGATGCAAAATCCCTGGATTTTTCATACAAAATTTCATGGACTCTAGCCTTTTCGTCATCAATGGGCAAAACTTTAAACATGCTGCAAGTATCATTTTCGTTTGTAAGTTCAATATTATAGCTGTAACTTTCCCATAATTGTTGTTGAATATCAAGGTAAGTGCTACGTGTGTAAATATTGGCCATTTGCGCATCCATCTTAATAGGGCATTTGAGTTTTGGCCTTTCATTCAAATCAATATAATTTGCCTTCAACTCTGAATGGCTTTGGCATACCAATGCCCTATTATATTTAACCATAAACTTGAGGAAGGAGTTGTTCTTGGAAACATATTTCTTTAGAGATGAATGTCCATTCTCAGCTCTCTGACTAGTTGAGCAATTTGCAGGAAAAAAAAAAAACATGATTCACATAGGTTGGAACCCAAGTAAATCGAATCCCATATATCGATTACAACTAGCCATTACTAGATAATCCACTTTTTGAAACAACGGTCATCCATTTCACATCAAACTCCTTTCTAGTCTCTAACTCCCAAATACATGCTTTGAAATCTAAATAATAATCTTTGTATTTGATCACAAGAAGCTTGCTTGAGAACTTATCCAAAATATGCCATGTACAGAATCTGTGAAACATGTTTGGAAAACAGTAGGGAATGGATTTTGTCATTGTCAGATTTTGATCAGTAATAATCATTTTTGGAGCATCACCTGGCATGGCATTCAAAAATTCTCTAAATAACCAAATGAATGAATCTGTCGTCTCGTCACTTAGAAAGGCACTAGAAAAAATGATTGTTTGACCATGATTGTTTACACCCATGAACGGGGCAAATATCATACTATACCGGTTGGTGTTGTATGTAGTGTCAAAAATGACCACATCACCATAAAACTTGTATGCTTGCCTAGAACTTGCATCAGCCCAAAAACAATGAGTAATCTTCTGTTCTTCATCTGCTTGAATCTTGAATGTGAATTCAGAATTTCTTTCTTGCTCTAGCAAAAAATGATCATGCAACATTTTTCCATCATGCCCCTTCCTATTGTTTCGCACTTTTGTTTGATAGTAATATAAATCTTCTTGTGTACAACCAATATTTTCAATTCCACTTACCTGCAATCCAGGAATGTCAAATTGTTTGTGTGGAGGTATGTTTACCATGTCTAGCTGATCAACTAATATTTTATGACACTTAGTAACCTTTCAATGAGACTTTAGCAAGTGGCGTCTTCGTGGAGATGCCATTGGATGATTAGGACCCTCGTCAAATATGGTGACTGCATACCCACCAAGTTTAGATCTCACAACTATCAATCTTGCTTTACAACCCTCTTTGGTTAATCCACAATGCTTTTGTTCGTCACCAACCCATTCTTTTGTATTACTTCCCTTTTTGTTGCATACAAACTCCTCTCTTGTGATCTCACCATCCTTATTTTTCGTACTTGAATGCATTCGGACACTAAAACCAGCCTCCCTTGCATAATTATTGTAAAATTCAAGCACTTCCTCTAATGTTTCGAAACGTTGACCTATGGTAGACTTGAACTCATCTGTTACTTGAGGATAGAAAAAACAAATACCAGAAACAATTTTTGACTGATTTTCCATTGGAACTTACATTTCATTAGCTTCCATAACTTGAATAGGCATTTCATCAGTTCCCGTAACTTCAATAGCCATCTCATTAGCTTCCATAACTTGAACATGAACATTAGCACAATCAAACATCCACACCACAAAGAATAATAAAAAAAACATCAACAAAACTTGAAAAGAAGAACAAGAGTCAAATTATTCAACTACTCTACAGTAACACATTCAAGTAGCAAGTGAATGAGGAGGAGACCCATACCTGAAATCTCAAAGGATGGCCTGTGATTTGGCTGAGCGCGAAGCTCTGCTTTTCTGTGCGTCTGTGTCGCAAGGAAGAGGAGAGAACCAGAAAAGCCAAGCTCTGTTCTTCTCTGTGTCGCAAGGAAGATGAAAGGACCCAAAGAAAAAAAAGGGAAAAGGGCAAAGGGAAAAGTAAAAAAGAGAAGGAAAAAATGGGACAAAAAAAAGATTTTTTGAGCCATTTAATTTCAACCACCCAATTTTATTAAAGTCAATCCAATGGTTTAGAGAGTGTTCCCCATTTTTTTTCAAAAAATGTGGATCCCTTCCCTTAAAGGGACTATGTGTGTGTGTGTGTGTGTGTGTGTGTGTAAGGATAGAATCAAAGGACAAACATTTTGACAAATATTTTTAAACTTTTTTTAAACCTTTAGATTACAAAACATCCAAAGGTTCATATTCATTCATTAAATGACATGGATGCTTAAGTGGATTTTAACTAATATTAAACATAAAAATAAAATTCAAAAAGCATAAAATATGGAAGGTAATTAAAAATAAAATTAAAAAGGAAGAAACCCTAGTTTTAAGCGTGCAAACAAGAAAGGAGGTAGAACTCCATTGATTTGAAGTATTGTAACCTCCATCACATACAAAACCCTAAATCGTATATTATTGTTCATATATGTAGGGTGATTAAATTAGGTTTTGCAAAATCATTTTAGTTTTGTCAATTTAGGTCATTGATGATTTTTCTACTTTTTTTAGCTTTTCAAATCAAACAAACAACTTGATTTCATTTGTCTATGCTTTCAATTTTTTTTTATTATGGCAGTTTCATTTTCGCTGAGTATTAATCTTATCTCTAATATCACTTCTTCTTCTTCTTCTTCTTCTTTTTTTTTTATTTTTATTTTTTATTTTTAAATCATTCCTTTTTTTGTTATTTATTAGGGTTTATTTTTTTTTTTTTAATAAAATGAGAGAGGAGATTTCATCCAAGGCATTGCAGGGGGGAGATGGAGGTTACAATATTTTCATGTTTTTGTTTTTCTTATTTTTTTTATTTTTTACGCTAGGTTCAAAGTTTAATTATTGGTTTTTTTAATTTTATCCTATTAGATATTAATTTTTAATTTAGATTAGTGTTTTCTTTATTAGTTATAATCCACATCATCATCCAAGGCATTTAATGTTTAAAACTCTCCACATCACTTTTAATCTAGACTGTTGAATATTACAAAATCTAAAGGCTACAAGGAAGTGTAAAAATGTTGGTCAAAATATTTGTCGCTTGATCTATTTCTCCTACCAACTGCGTACAAATTTTAGATTGAAATTTCTGTTGTTTCTTTTATTTATTTAGGTTATTTTGAGATGGGCCCTCACTGCTCTTATTTCTTTAGAATAAGCCCACTTATTTTAAATAATCCAAATAGAAGCCAAATCAAATAAGATGTCGTGTAGACAAATAAATGACCTATTATTACAAAAAATTTACTGCTTATGTAACAAAACCTAATTATGTCAAACAAATCTAATTACACGCCCTAATTATGAAAATAAATGGTTCATTATTACAACAATATTCACCCATGGTTTTCCTCACCGTTTTTTTAACAAACGATATGATCTACACTAAAGGGGACAGGCGTGTGCTTAGCCTCACTATGAGCTAATAATAATGTAGTTCAAATTTTCCCAATGTTTCTTACAAAGTTCTTGTAGAAGACGCGTCTGCCATAGCTTGGACGAATACATGGCCTTTGAATCAAGATTCTCAATGGTAAAGGATATCATTACGGAACTGGAAAAACCTGATATCAACAGGATTAGGGGGCGTTGGGAAGACAACACTTGCCAAAGAGGTTTACAGGGAAGCTGTCAAAGAGAAGTTATTTGATGATGTGGTTATAATACTAAATGTCAAAGAAAAAAAAAAAAGACAACGAAAAAAATTCAAAATGAAATTACCAAAAAGTTGGGGATGGACTTTGATGAATCTGAGGATATGGGAAAAAGGGCGAATCTTCTATGGGCCAGGATAAAAGAGGGAAATAATTGACTTTGAGGCTGTAGGACTTGTCAGTATGCCGAATTTTAAGTTATTGTTGACATCTAGAGAAAAAAAAAAATTTCTCTAATATGCATTTGCAAAAAGAATTTCGACTTGGGTTTTTAACAGAAAAAGAAATTTGGGGTTTGTTTGAGAATATGGCAGGTAATGTCGTTAAAGACGACCGTATACTGAAAGAAGCAACCCAACTAGCAAAGAAATGTCGAGGTTTGCCGGTTTTGGTTGTTGCAGTTGCAAGTGCTTTGAAGGATAGTAGTTTGCTGGAATGGAAAGATGCGTTGAGAAGCTTCAAAAGATTTGCCTAGAAAGAATTGAAGGAAAAAGCATTCTTGGCTCTAGAGTGGAGTTACAAACAATTGGATGATCAAGAGCTTCAACAATTGTTCTTGCTTTGCGGAATTCTTGCAACTGGGGGTTAACACCATTTATGTCTTTTACTTGTTGCACTATGCTATGGGTTTGGGTTTGGTTGAATTCTTGCCTATTGCTGGACAGTTCTAATGATGGGACTGTTAGAATGCATGAGTTTGTACGAGATGTTGCTGTCCGGATTGCATCTCATGATCAAAAGGCCTTTTCAAGAGCATATGGAGATGAGGTGAAAAAATGGCCAACTGAGAATATTAAAAAATGCACTAGTATGTCCTTAAATGATTGCAAAATCCCAGGCTTCCTGAAGTACCTTGGGAATGCCCAGAATTAAAATTGTTAATCTTGTCCGATAATTATAAGGGTGACTCCCAGGAAATCCCAAGCAAATTTTTTGGAAGGGATGCAAGAACTCAAAGTGTTGGATGTAACCAGATTCAGTATTTAGTCGCCACCTCCATCTCTTCAATCCCCAAAGCATCTCCACACATTGTGTTTAGATCGGTACGAGTTGGTAGACATAACTCTTGTTGGACGGCTAACACAACAACAACAACAACAACAACAAAGCCTTTTCCCACTAAGTGGGGTCGGCTATATGAATCCTAGAACGCCATTGCGCTAGCTAACAAACTTAAAAATTCTTAGCCTCCTAAAGTCCAAGATTAAAGAGTTGCCCAAAGAAATATGGCGACTGACTAGGCTACAATTATTGGATTTGACTGGTTGCTCTGAACTTCTTGTGATTTCACCTCATGTAATATCAAGCTTGACTAGACTAGAAGACTTGAGGAGGGGAATAAAATGTTGAATAAGAAGAGTATCCAAGATAACTCTAATGATCCCAAGAAGAAGAAAATAGAGCACACTCTTAAAGAAAGCTCACAAAACAAACTAATTAGCAAAGCTTTTCTTATTTAGCTCTAGGCTTTGTTTTTCCTTGGATGATTTACAATGCTTGAGGACTTGGGTATTTATAGCAAACCAAATGATTAAACTAAGATTATTTATTACCACACAAAACACATTAATTGCACCTAATTTTTTTTATTCAACCATACCTAACATTGCCTAACTTTCCTTGCCTAACTTTGACATTGATTTTCAACACTCCCCCTCAATGTCAGCTCTCATTCTTTGCACTGTGCTGAGCAGACAGCGAAAATTTTCGAGCTTGCCTGTACTTCAACTTTTTGTGAACAAGTCCGCAACTTGATCATTCGTCTTGACTTGTCTCATCTCAATCTTTTCTTGTAGAACCTTTTCTCTGATAAAGTGGTAGTGCACTTCCACATGTTTAGTTCTTGCATGAAAGACTGGATTTTCCGCCAAGCGAATGGCCGATTGGTTATCACAGTACAATGGTACTGGATAATCTACTGGTTGATGTAGATCACTCATCAGCCATGCATTCTCTTGAGCTGCCATTGCTGCTGCTCTATACTCTGCTTCTGTGGTTGACAAAGATACCGTTGGCTGTCTCTTGCTACACCAAGAGATGGTTCCAGAACCAAGCTTAAACACATACCCAGTTGTTGATCTCCTGGTGTCATGATCTCCCGCATAGTCAGCATCACAGTAACCAACTAACTTGCAGTCTTCACCTTTCTTGTACAAAAGACCATAGTCAATTGTACTCTTCACATATCTCAGTATTCGTCGAACTGCTTCCAAGTGAGGCTTCTTTGGATTTTGCATGTACCGACTCATCACACCAACTGCATATGAAATGTCAGGTCGAGTCAAGGTTAAGTAGATCAGACTACCTACCAATTGTCGATACATCGTCGCATCTTCCAAATCTTTTCCTTCATGTGCACTCATTTTGACATTTGGCTCCATCGGCGTAGAGATCAGCTTGCATTCGAGCATTCCGAACCTCTTCAATAAATCTTTGGAATACTTCTGTTGACAGAGAAATATTCCTTCTTGTGTGCGATCAACCTCTAGACCAAGGAAATGCTTGAGTTGACCAAGTTCCTTCATCTGGAAACGGACTGATAAATTCTCCTTCGTCTGAAGAATTTCTGCCTCATCATCACCGGTTATGATTAAGTCATCCACATACACTAGCACAATAGCTAGCTTTCCTTCATTGGCTTTAACAAACAAGCTGGAATCTGCAGGTGTTACTGAATAACCACTTTGTGTTAGAAATTCAGCAATCTTACCATACCACGCCCTGGGTGCTTGTTTCAATCCATAGAGTGCTTTCCTCAGTTTACACACATATTCAGGATGATCTTGATTCTGAAATCCCATTGGTTGGATCATGTAGATCTCCCGATCCAGCTCTCCATGAAGAAAAGCATTCTTCACATCCATCTGCCACAAATTCCAGTCTTTGTTGGCTGCAAGTGCAAGTAAGACTCGTACTGATGTAAGCTTCGCCACTGGACTA